TATCAAAGTTAAAGTCCTTGCAGCAAACAGAAAACCTTATCGAACACGCAAGGGTGAGATTTGTACTAATGTACTGAGAGTGTGTTCGAGAGATCTTCAATTTATATATGTACTAGCGGGATGGGAGGTTTCCGCAGCAGATATCCGAGTACTCCGAGATGCTATTAGTAGACCACATGGTCTTAAAATACCTCATGGTATGATATACATAAAACATAGAGCTACATAATATTATTATCAATACAGTCTAACTAAATATGTAGAATCTATTGTAGGAACATACTACCTTTGTGATACGGGTTATACAAATGATGAAGGTTTTTTAACACCTTATCGCGGACAACGTTACCATCTTAATGATTGGTCTCGACCACCTACAAATGCTAAAGAGTTATATAACATGAGACACTAATCAGCAAGGAACGTAATAGAACGATGTTTTGGATTGATCAAATCTAGATGGGCTATTTTACGTGATAATGCATACCATCCAATAGAATTTATGTCACGCATAATCATTGCATGTTGTTTGATGCATAATTTCATACGTACAACCATGACCGAAGATCCCCTTGATCAAGAAATCCCAGCAAATCACACACAATTTGGAGATGAACATGACAACATTATTTCTACCGTAAAGACATCGCAAGGATGGACTGACCGTCGAGATCTTCTTGCTAATACTATGTTTACTGATTGGAGTGCAAGGCGTGCCAACAATTAATTTATTCCATGTTTTTATGTAAACTTCATTATTCTTTATGTGGTGTTGATATTATGTTTAATGAATGAACAACTATATTATTATTTCATTTTTCTTGTTGATATATTGTATTTATTATGTGGTGTGATAATATTTCTTTAGTTTGGATCTATTTGTAACTTTATAAAAAAAATGTTGTTTAAAAGGAAATAAACAAGGTAAAAAAAACATTTCCATTTCAATGCTTAATACAACCAAACAAGAGAAATGATTCTCAACAACATTTCTCTAGTGGATTCTCAGTTCTACCAAACAGTGTAATCAATTCTCTTTCTCTAGCTTAATTCTCTTTCTCTGCATTTCCATTCTCTGTTGCAATTCCATTTCTTTGTACCAAACGTACCCTAACGATCTATGATAGTATATAAAGATTAGGTTGGTATCTATACAATAGGACCTTTAGAAAAGTCCTTTTGAAACAAACTTTTTGCCAAAGAAGAAAATGATATTTTCAAAAGTCAAGAAATATTATGTGTTTGTAACTTTTAGCCACTTAATAAGTAAATTACATTCAAAAATCAAGAAATGTACATTCAAAAAGCAAGAAATGCTAAAACAAAACACTTTTTAAAAAACAACTTTTGGCTTTTGCTCCTTCAAAAACTAAAATCAAAAAAGACTTTTACAAAAAAGACTTTTAAGGTTAAAAAGTAATCCCAAACACCCCTAAAAGTGTATAAAAGGGTACTATGATTTGCAACTTTTTCTTTTTGGATAGACGTTTGTTATTCCAGTTAATCAACTGTCAATTGAGCCCTCTAATATTGTTAACTTTCTAATAATATTTACTAAACTTGTAAATTGTAATCGAATACGACAATTGTTTCATTTCATCATATTATTTCAAAAGAAATGAACAGAGCATGAATAAAAGGAGTACAAAAGCGACACATGTTTATAACCAAACCATGGTCTTATTCCAAAGTCGCCATATATAAAAACACCATAAAAGAATGCAAATAACGCCAGAAATGCTACAAATCAGAAAAATTTAGAGAATTTGTTTGTTCATCATGAATCTTCATTTCTCAGAATAACTACATACCGTGTGGTTCTTGATTCCTGAAATCTTAATCTGCTCTGGATTGACCAGCACGTGAAGACAATATGATACCCACAATCAGACCATATAAAGCCAGGGCTTCAGCAAAGATCAGAATAAGAATCATCCCCACAAAAAGCTTTGGCTGCTGTGCATTTGCTCTGCAATCCATAACAAAAGTAAGATTAATACCCTCTTGCTACTTCACTTCATGTATCTCTTAATCCTACATTACATGATCCCTATTCATTAACACATGCATAAAAGTAGACATGTTAAAGCATCAGTGGCCCAAAGACATAGGTTTGAAGATGACACACATTCCATATTTTGTTAACTAAGCACAACAAACATGCATAAATATGTTATTATAGCAGGAACACAGATCAATTATGGGTTGAAAAATGGAAACAATACCTAACACCGGCATCACCAACAATTCCAATGGCCATTCCGGCCGAAAGACCAGCAAGACCACAAGCCAAACCAGAGGAAAGGTGTGCATAGCCATCAAAAAGATAATAAGACTTGGCCTTAGGGTTGATTCCGGTACTGATAATGACAGCGATAATCAAACCATAGATACCGAGCACACCAGCCATAACAACTGGAACAATGGACTTCATCACCAGCTCAGGCCTCATCACTCCCATCGATGCCACACCTACACCACTCTTCGCTGTCCCATACGCAGCCCCCATACCTATACAAACAATCCGATCAAAAAACAGAAATCCAGATCCGTAATTCTTACATCGGGAAACAAACGTAGAACCAAGCGATTAAAACATCACCATTCACGGCATCCATAAACGAACAATGACTCGGAGAATTAAAACGATTATCAATAAAACAAACTACGATTCAATGAGGTAATTCACAGCTTAAGTAACGAAAATACCGGATTTCAGATCTAAATGTTGTAACGAGAACAAAAGATGAAATTGATGAGGTTAGGGTTAATGACATACAGGAGAAGACGAGGGCAGCAGCGGCGCCGAGAAATCCAAAGAAAGGGGCGGTTTCATCACCACTGAATGAATCGGAACCCATTGTTGATCGGAATTGGGAGTGAAATTGATCGAATTTTGGATCAGAGAAGTGCAGACAGAGTTGAATCTCTTTGCCTCGATCTCTAATCTCAACGTGTTAGATCGTTTTATGCGTTGTTCCTCTCACGTTCCAACACTTGTCTTTACATTGAGATCACGTCGATTGGATCTATAAATTTTTTTCGGAACGATTAATTATTAAATGCAACAATTTTCTGGATAAGTTTTTTTTTTTTTTTTTTTTTTTTTTTTTTTTTTTAATAATTATTTTAGAACTATTAGAAATTTAGTTAATATGAAGTTATTTTTGTTAAATACATGAATACTTATTTTATTAGTATACCAGTAGAACATTTGTTTGTTAAGAAAATATAGAAAAATAAATCTTGTAATGTTGATAACATTCATTTTATTATTTAAAAGGGTTCCAGTATAGATTTGAGTAAATGTAAAGGTGATGTTTGGGCTCACATGATAATCTATTCACCCACACATACTATATATAGTGTTATTACAGAAGTACACAATCAACGGAATGATATAACAAACGGAATTCAAATCAAATATAAATACAAGAAGTAATTCTCAAAGAAAAGCATACTTGAATATGTCATACACAATAGAATACAAACTCGAAATTGTAGAAGATTGAGGCCTATAAGTAGTGTCCTAAAACAGAAATTTACAGGGTATGGATCTGTCTTGAGGATACAACAATCAATTCAAGAAGTGATATTGAATCTGTCGAAAATTTCTATGTTCCTTTCATCTTCAGAAACGAAGAAACGAATTTGCAAGAGTTTTTGTGGTATGATATGATTTATGTAACCCTCCACAAATGACCGAAAACAAGCATTTATATGCTTTGATTATGATAGTTGAAAATTGTCAAAAACCGAAATTAACTGCCATTATACCTATCAATTCAGTAATTATGAATTTAATAAAATTAAAATTAATTTCGTAATTAAAATATATATATATATATATATATATATATATATATATATATATTTAATTAATTAATTAATTAATTAATCAGGAAGACCCCAAAGGCCCAAGACCCATTTTTGACCATTAAATATTATATTGATATTAGTCTAATTTGAGTCCAATTAGCTAATCCAACACCACAACCCAAGCCCATCAATCTTAGCCCATTGTTTTATCCATATTGATAAACTAATGAGACTTAAGCAGTTAAGCTTATAAGAAGGAGCTTTTTCTTTCTTGCTTCCAATGTGGGATAAGTCCCACAATACAAATTATTAAACAAAGTTCCAACATACAACAACCAACATAATTCATCGACGGACGAAAAACACTCGTAGTGACATGTATTTTATACGTGACATAATGTTTTTCTATATAAGCGTCTTTACGAGTGTGCAAGGTGTGCGATAGCACAGAGCCCATGTTGTGGAGGGGGCCAAATTTTACATATGATTCAGTTCGATGTCTAGCAATCGACAATCTAGTAATAAAAAAAAACAAAAACTCATGTTTTTTTTCCCAATTCCAATAGCTCACGTTGCAATTAAAAATTTAAACAACTCACGTTTTGACAAAATTGGGCTTAAAATTAAAAATTGCATTTGGGTTGATGTAAAGTTACATCAAACAAGAACTTAAGTTTGTGTTTTGGAGTCGAATGGTAAAATGGAAAAAGTGATGTTTTAGACTTTTTTCATGAATTAAGGATTTCAGTTCGGTATGTTTTAATTCAAAAGTAATTAGATAGAGTTGTGAGGCTTGTTAATACATTTTCATGCATATAAAGATTGTCGAAAACGGAGTTGAAACGAAGAAGTTATGGTTGATTGAAGCTGAAATGGATTTGGGTGAAAACCGTCCCCATGGAGTTGAGATCAGAGCTCCACGGCGTGGCAGGCCATGGAGTGGAGAAACGTGGCCACGGAGTGGCAGTATGTCAGGCCCAAGCCCATGACTTTAGGGTTTTCAACGTATTTAAGCATAAGGTTCCATATTTTTTGGGCATTTTAGCAGCCTCCATCATATCTAGAACCCCTTGAAAGAAACCTTAGCCTCCATCTTCAAGATTTGAGCTTCCTCCCTCCTCTCTCCTCTTTTGGATGCTTTTTATGATATTTTTGATGAAGCTTAAAGATCAAGAAGGTTCTTTTGGTTGCAAGGAATGATACTTCAAGCTTGGATCCATCAAAGGCACTACATTTCTGCCTTTCTGGACTATTGTGAGTATAAAGTTCCAGTCTTGCTCTTTAGTTATTTACATCTCTTCATTTGTGGTTTTTGGCACTTATGGTCTATTTTATGAGTGATCTTGGAGTTGAGTGGACTCCAACGTCATTTGATCAGTTTGGAATGCGTCTTGGACCTCATGGACTAGGAAAGTTATGATCTTTTGCCTTCCCTTTTATCAATGCAAGTTATCTTGGTCCTTTAGGCCACTTTGGTGTATTAAAGTTTAGATCTTGAACGATTGTGACATTATTATGGATAAAGTTGGAAACTTTATCCATCTAGACATCTTGTTGATTCAGATCTGAAAATGGGAGACTTGGACTTAATGTATTAAGTTGAGAAAGATGAATTTTGGGTCCCTTTGAGACTTAAAGTCTAGATATTGGTGGTTTAGACCATCCTAATGGAAAAAGTTGGAAACTTTATCCATTATGAATCAATCAGGAATCAAATCTAATGATTTTAGCTTTGGTCCTTATGGATTAGTCCCTTATTGAAGAAAAGCCTTTTAAACTGAAGACCATGGCGTGGCCAAGGAAGGTCACGGCATGGTAGCATGGCTTATCATGTCTGTTTTATCCGTACATGGCCACGCCGTGGCCATGGGTTAGCCACGACATGGACATTGGCTGGAGTTGACTTTGGTCGTTGACTTTTTGACCACTTTGACCTTTTGGATGAACTTAGGTAGAATTGAGTATTTGACTAAGGGTTGGTCTCGGTTTGGCTATAGGAAGCTTGGGTTGGCTGTTCTATTGTTGAAGTAGTTGTTGGGCTTCTATTGAGTAGTTCAGGTGGGTTTCTCACTATACTCTTGGGTCGAATGCACCAATGTCGACCCACTAGATTATGTTATGTATCATTGTATATATATAGGATGTTGTTATGCTATAGTAGTCTATGAATTGGTAAATCTGTATGATTTCCTGTACTTGCTGGTAATTTATTTCATGTTTGCATATGTCGACACATTGCAGTTAGGTTGAGGCGGTAAGACTTTGTGATGTGGGCCAACAAACCCAGGGGCAATCCAGTCGGGAGATTGTAGGCCAGGGGCAATCCATTCAGGAGACTGTAGGCTAGGGGTAATCCAGTCGGGAGGCTGTGCGCAAGGGGCAATCCAGTCGGGAGACTTGGGCCCAGGGGCAATCCAGATTTATACGGTGGGCTTGGTGTGTATACATTGTTTATGTATTGTTGTGTGGGTTTTTTGGGGGAACTCACTAAGCTCTGGATTACAATTTGGTTTCATGGTTTCAGGTACATCAGATGATCAGGGCAAGGCTAAGGCGTGATTGTACACATCATCCTTGGATTTATGTTGAGAAATGTTTTAGGTACTCTGATTTTTATAACTATGTTTTGGCAATATTGTTTTGTATGACTTGTGGTTTATAAAAATGTTTTTTGAAAAGTGAAACTTTTTACCATGATTTTTGGGACGTTACAAGTTGATATCAGAGCCCTGGTTTGAACGAATTGGATGAACACTTATGTGATCCCAGACTCAAACTAAGGATCTGCAAAATAATTTTCAAAATTAACTTTATAAAGACCGACAAAGAGGATGCGATGTGTACAATAAGCTGGAGCCAAGGAAAGTATTCGCCAAGATACCCACACTTGTTCTGTATATTGATGATATGATAGAATTGCATGCTAGTTTGTAGGTTATTGATCTTCAGGAATTGCATGATAGAATTGTCTGATTCATGATGTCTGATAGCCTAGGATAATTTCCTGATATTGTTGGTTTTTATAGAAAACAAAATCATGTACAATGCAGAAAAACAATTAACAATTAATAGGGTACATGCATCCTATAAAAGATCTATGTCATAACACTTTGAAGACAACATACTATGAACAACAAAACTAGCATAAACCCTAATGAAATCGAAATCATGGGATTAGGTTACATAACTTTAATTTGTTGTAGTAAACAAATCACTTCAATCTCCTTGTAGGGTAGGTCTTGGAAAGCTTAGCACCAAAATGATGGTTCCTCTAATGGCTCACACCCACAGCCTAGACCCAGAAGACAAGAGGTGAAAGGAAGGAGGAAGGAGGATATTTTCGGCCATCGTATCTTTCTAGGAAGAGTATGCACGAAATTAGACCATCTTGGGGTCCTATTTATAGTGTGGATGAGACAAGGAAAACCCTAGATTTGAATAATAAAATATTCAGATTTTATTCTATTCAAATATGATATCCTTATCAGATTTAAGAATATTCCAGAAACCCCAGAATACTCCCAAATTCCGTTCACTACTATATGGGTTCTAGAATTTTCTTTCCTTGCTCAATTATGAACAATTACAATTCAATCCTTAGACCTTTAATTAATTCCAGTTAATCCCGAATTAATTCAAGATTAATTCTGATTAATAATTAATTAATTAATTCTAATTGATTTCATAATAACTTATTAATCATATAAATTAACAAACCAATTTTCTATTTTCAGTTAATATATTAATCACATAATATATTAACAAATTATTTCCTCATGATTTCCAATTAGTTTATCAATCATACAATAATCTAATAAATTATCCTCTCTCTACAAATGTTAGTCTAACCAAGTTCTAGTTATGAGGGCAATCCAAAAAGGACTTTGCTTCTAATTACAAGAACATACCAATTTAGTTACTAGCTTAGACACCTTAATCCAATAGTCTCCCACTTGGATAAGTATGTAACTATAGTTGCAGGAATAAACCTTGAAATAAACAACAAAGATTACTTTCCAAAGCCACTGTCGAACTCTGATTCGAAGCAAACGTTGTCCCTTAGATAAGTGATCAACTATTCTTGCGTTCTACAAGATATCGTATGGAGATGAGACATGGATTAGAATCAATATCATAGTCAAGATTCTGTTTCTCGATTCTCCCAATTTATGACGATTGAAAACATCAATTTAGTCTGGGCTC